TTCCTAGTGCTCGTTCTCCTTCTCCTCCCTCCTCCTCCCTCCCCCCTCCACTCCTCCACTTCCCCCCGAGCCTGGACAGAGGAGACAGCCGAAAACAAGGAGACTAGAGAAATTGGGACGGGCAAGATCAATCAATATTGAATCGGGACATCGGATCGAATCGGAATGTGCGTTTGACCGAGCCCAGACAAGATCATCTACGCACGGCAACTCCATGCAAGCATCGGGCCGCATCGGATCGCTGAAACATCGAATTCCAGTCAGATCGAGCCCAACGAACTCGAAACCGAATCGGAAATATGAGATCGGCATGGACCCTGGAAAGTCAGGGATGGGAAGGGAGCAGAACGAGGAGAGGTATGAAGGGCGAGGAGGGAGAGAAACAGAAGAGGACAGATGCGAGGAGGGGGTTGGCCCAGGAAGTGGAGAGGAAGGAGGAAAATGAGAGGGAGGGAAGGTGTGAGGGGATGGCGGAGAATGAGGCGGGGGAGGAGGAGAAATAGGAGGAGGAGGAGAAGGAGGAGGAGGGGGGGGAGGGAGGATGTCGGAGGAGAAGGGGGTGGGGAAGCTGCAACGCGATGGGTACATGCTGCTTGGTGCCTTGACCATGCTTGTGACGCTAATTATTTTGGTTGCGATTACTTCGCCCGGTCTTCACTTCTGCCAACCGCTGCGTTTCTCGAGAGTAAACATCCGATCACCATGGGGGTGGCGAGTTGTACCCCCTCGCTATCGGCTTGTGCGGTGCGTCGTGCCTGTCTACAACGCTGCTCAGTACTACACTGGCTTGTGTCGCAAAGTCAATCACCCTGTCTGGAACAAGTTCGGCCTGCACGCCGTCTTGGCCCAAAGCACGCCTGATGATACGCTACATTCGTTGGTTGGGAGCTGGAGCTGCACGCGCTGAGTTCGCGCCCTGCCCTGCACGAGAGAACAACAGCACCGCCATTTTGTGGATCTTGCAGTCTACCTTTCTCAAATCTTGGCTCGCCTTAAAACCACCCTGGGCGTTTTTTTTGTGTTCCTTCTTATTGTTCTTTCATTCTCTACATGTTATACTTTTTGGCTCTTGGCAAGCTGAAGACGTTCAAACAACGCTACGTGTTGTTAGCGCTTGGTGGGCTGTTGATTGTTTTGTTGTTGTTTGCGTTGTTTGGCGTTTCGTTGGCGCTTTCAGGCTGACAACCCTAAAAACATGTCTGAAAACGCTAACACAACGCATCATGTGTTTAGCGTTGTTCATTTGTTGGGGAGACCTGAAAACGCAATGCAGATGGGAACTGATGCGGCACTGGTTCTGTCTATGCCCTCAGGGCTCTGGAGACGATGTGATGAATAGAATGTTTTCCAACTTCGCAATGAATTGGCCCTGCAGGACTTTGCGAAACCTGCAAGTGGCCTCGCTCGCTGAGCGCTCTGGGCCCAAACGGCTACGCATGCGCATACGTCACAGCTCAGGGGAACCAGATTGCTACGACTGGCTTGTACAATTTGCTCCCTGATGGGCTCTTGCGCCCAAAAGCTAAGCTACGAAACCGCCACCTACCCCAACCGACCAACCGTTAACTCACTTATTGAAACACGTCCAGAACCGTATTGGCCTCGGGCCTGTTGACGTCTACAAGACGGCGCAGGAGATGTCTGGAGCAAGGTTTCAACGAAAACCGCACTCTCACCCCCACACCCCTGCAAATATTCACCACCCTTTGGGAACGGGCGAATTCCCATTCGCCGTGGTAAGGGAGGACTAAAAAAGACTGCACCTGGTCGCTCGGGGTACGCACCGTTCGGTCATTGCTGGGGCTGGGCAAACTACCGTTCGTTGAAACGCACTGCCGCGAAAAGGACTGCACCATCTCCCGTGCAATGCGAGAGTTGCTGCACAGTTCTGTAGAACGCCTGACCATGCTTTTAGGCCACGCTGCATGCACGTGCGTGGGACGAGCACTGGAACAGAGGAGAGGGGTGTAGAGGGACATTGGCTTCACATGCGCGCGGAAATCAAGAAATCCAGCGTGGTGCCACCGCACGCCCTTATACAACACCACGTCTAACATGACGGCCGAGATCTCGGAAACAGATTCCGTCTTCAACCTGAAGAAGCGGCTCTGCTTTCTCAATCTATCAAGCAGTCGGTCCACTCTTGTCCGGTTTGCGCCGCTGGCGATAAGGAGAATATCATCTTTGAAACGTCCCCAGAATCGAATACCAAATCTCTGCATAAACCGTTCATTGTTCATCACCCCCTCCTCCACCATGAAGTGGAATGCAGTATCGCTCACGTCTGCACTACAGCCGAGCCCCATGCCTGTTCCTATCTTCGCTGTCCAGGAAAAGTTCGGCACGCCTTCCACTTGCACAATCTGGTTGCGCAGAATTGCTCGGAGCATAATTTTGAAGGCAATCCTTTAGCTGCCCTCTGGCACGCCCCTGCTGGAGTACTCGACGAGGTCATTGTGCTGACCACTCATGTAGAAGTCTTTGATGTCTATCTTTATCAGGATGTCATCGGCCGCGCACTTCATGAACTTGATGCGCTGCAGGAGGTCTCTACTGTCTCGTAAGATATGGGGTTGCGTCTTGATGAATTTCTTCAATGTGTCAGACACCAATTTCATTCCACCTTTCATGGGGTTGCATGGGGATGCGTGCAATGGTTTGAGTTCCACTCCGCCGACGTCTTTGTGAGACTTGATGGTGGCTTTCATATTGGATACCATGCCCGTTGCGCCACCTCTTGCCCACGAAAGCATAGCGAAGATGAAACGCTTGTCCTGTAAGGCGCCTGCTGCCTCATGGACTGCAGACCGGTAGTCATCGAAATATTCATCCGCCATGTCGTGTTCCAACTGTCTGTATTTGTCACTCTGAGTCGACCGTACTTTCTCTAGGACGATGGCCCACTTATTGATTAGGCAAAATCCCCCATCCTTGTCCGTAGGCAAAACGCCCATGTCCCCTCGACGGAGAATCGAGAATGCAAGCCGTGCACCTCGCAAAGTTGGCGATGGAAGCACGTCTGCTTGAGAACTTCCCTCTTGCACGCCTGCACTCTTGCCAAACGCCGTCAACCACTTCGGATATGAAAGCGTTCTGCGAATCAGAGATGGGGAAGTTACACTCGGGCGTGGAAGCAAAGTTAGCGCGGAACCGTCTGAACAGGTTATCGTCAACATCTTCGCCCTGAGCCGAAGGTTGGTTGACGCCAAAATAGAATATCCAGTGCTGCTTGTTCGCCCATTGTCGCAAGCATGTGGAAATTCGTGCAAGGTCAGGAGCCTCGGTCCCCCTAAAAATGTGCTTTCTGTGGTAACTCAGCAGGAATTTCACCAGCCAGGATATTTCCCCTTTCTCTGGGATGAAACAAGCTTTGCGGTCGATGTCATACACATACAGCTTTGGCGTAGTGTTCCCAATCGAAAGAAGACGTTTGAAGTCAGCCATGGGTAACCCATCAATGACTCTCCAACACATCTGAGTGGCACGTTCTTTCACTGCCACTTTTGCTTTGTCTTGCCTCCTTTTCCTTTCCCAGTGTTTGATCCTGTCTTTCCGCCTTTGGAACCTTTGTCCTTCTCCTTGCCTTTGCCTTTCCAACTCTTGTCGTAACGCTATTTGCCTTCGCCCTTGCCTTTCTGGGATCCGCTCGGTTTCCCAGCGCCACTCTTTGCTTTCCCTTTTGCTTTGCCTTTGCCCTGCCCCTTGGGATTGCCAGCTTCGTTCGAAAAATCTCTGCCCTTTCCTGGCGTTGTTTGGCGTTTCGTTGGCGCTTTCAGGCAGACAGCCCTAAAAACATGTCTGAAAACGCTAACACAACGCATCATGTTTTTAGCGTTGTTCATTTGTTGGGGAGACCTGAAAACGCAATGCAGATGGGAACTGATGCGGCACTGGTTCTGTCTGTGCCCTCAGGGCTCTAGACATTGAACTCGCAAAGCCCTCCTGCCAGCTGCACTGAGCTCGGTCACCCTACCGAATCGCGAAATCGGATCGCATCGCCAGCGGATCGTCCCGAACCAGATCGAGATCGGATCACCGCGCCCGGGCTCCCTGGCTGGCCCCCAGCCGGAACCCGACCGACTCGGAATCGCGGCCCCGGCCAATCAATCGAAGCGCTTCGGATCGTGGGCGCGCGTGCAGCTGCCCCCATAAGCAGGGCCGGCCACGTCACCGCCAGTATCTCGGGCTCTCCCTGGCGCGAGGTTGGCAGCGGGAGGGGGGAGGGCAGGAACGAAGTCCTCCCCACAAATAACTCCGCCCTGTCGCTCACCGAGGCCAGTCGAAAGGGCAGGCCGGTCGTTTCGCCTGACACTTCCTCACCACTTATGACCCTGAGGCTTGGAAGCTGGCAGCATTTTCACAAATGGAGGGCGGGTGGTTTTCAAAATGTAGCTCTCGCCTTTTCGCCGCGCACATTCTTTTTCAAAGCAATTGGAAGAGTCTTATGGATTGAGGACGGAGTTTTCAAAATGTGGCTCTCGCCTTGGCGCCGCGAACATAATTTCAACCCGTTTGCAGTAGCTTCACGGAGTAAGGGCACGTCGTTTTCAAAATGTGGCTCTCGCCAGAGCGCCGCACACACACACACACACTCCTTTCAACAAACTTGCAACTGCTTCACGGATCGAGGTCGGGTCGTTTTCACAATGTGGCTCTTGCCTTTTCGCCTCGCATGCTCGCTTTAGGCATTCGCAAGATCTTCACGGATTGTGGGCGGCTCGAAAATGTGGCTCTCGCCTTAGCGCCGCGCACATTGGTTTATTCACGGATTCCCATGGTCAGCGTGCGAGAATGGCTTTTTCGAAAGACTCCTCCTCCTCCTCCTCCTCCTCCTCCTCCCCATCATCATCATCATCATCATCATCATCATCATCATCATCATCATCATCATCATCATCATCATCATCAACGTCATCATCCTAATCCTCCTCATCCTTCTCTTCCTTCTCCTGCTCATCCTCCTCATTATCCTGCAGGAGGGCGAGGGGAGGGGGGAGGACCCTGGATCAGGCCCGCGCTGCTGCAGAACTCCTGGAACTCTGGGTAGGTCTTGCAGAGCTGCTGCATCTTCGGGGTGCCTCTGGTCCCAGCGGCGGGCCCTCTCTCCCGCGTTTCCATACGCTCTCGTTCCATGCTTTCGCCTGCCTCTTCCTCCCGCCTCTTCTCCCCTTCCCTCAATGGCCACCTGGGCTCACAACTCACCCGCTGTATCCTTGGGAAGCCGTCTGGGCTCGCTCCCTCCATTCGCTCCCCTCGCTTTCCCCCCCCCATTCGCCTCCCTCGCTTTCCCCCCCCTCCTGCGTTCTTCCTCCCCCACCCCATATCTAGCATGAAGAAAAGGGTCCCGAGGGAGGGAAACAGGTCCTGGTCCTAGTCGTTCTTTTCCAGAGCAAAGAAACGGTGAGAAACTTCCAGGACCTGTGTCCCTCAGGACTCGCTTCCTCCATGGCAACCTGCTCGTTCCTCCATCATCCCTCCTCTCTCCCTCGCCCCCTCGCTCGCCCCTCCTCCACCCATTTTGGCCACATGCTCTTTTGTTTCGCCCAATTTCGTTTCGTTCTCTGTTGTTTCGTCCACTTTCGTCTTATCCTCTTTCGCTTAGTCCTCTTTCGTTTCGTCCTCTTCGCTTCGCCTTCTTTCGCTTCGTCATTTGTTGTGTTGTCCTGTTTTGTTTCGTCAGTTTTCGGAAAATCCTCTTTCGTTTGGACCTCTTTCACTTCGTCCTCGTTAGTTTTGGTCCCATTTCGGTTCGTCCTCTCTCGTTTCGCCCTCTTTCGTTTCGACCTATCGTGTTTCGTCCGCTCGATGGCGGACCAGCGCGAGTCGCGCGGACGAATTTAAACCCGACGAATTGAAACCGAACGAATTGAATCACCGACGAATCGAAACAGGACGAACTGGCAAGCCCGGACGAATCGAAACCGGACGAATCGAAGCGGACGAATCGCAGCAGACAAAATGAAGCGGACGAAATGGAATTCGGACGAACCACCCCTGCTCCTCGGCTCCCCTGTGAGGGCCCCGAGCAGGTAGCCGAGTGGCGGCTTCGCTTGGCGACGGCGAAGAAAACAAGGAATAGCACCACTGCGGAAAGGCGTCCAAACTTAGCCGAGACTCAATCCTACGGAGGTAAGTTTGCGGCCTCCAGATACTCCGCTCGTGGGAAGCCATGTGCGGCTGCTGGTCGGGCTCAGGCCGGCCAGCTTCCAGAGAACAAGAAGCACGACGTCGGAGTTCTGGGAGCTGCCCTGCTGCGCAACATGCAGCCTGGAACATGCCAGGGCGATGCTCGACGCGCCGTAGGAATCCATGTGCAATCACGGAAGGCGCAGGTCGGGAACGAAGAGGCCGTTTCTGGGCACAGCGAGCCTTGACCGCGAAGCGGTTCCCCGGCCTGGATGGAAGAACGGCACGAGCACAAGGGCCACTCCCGAACCCAGAGTGGTCCCTCTTTCAGCGTCTTGGGTCTTGGGTGTATTTTTGAGAACGTGAGGATTTGGCGCTTCACTCGCAACAGGGTAGGCCAACACGAATCGAACCAACACGTAAAATGCCAAACCCAAACGCTATGAGCTCGGTACGTGTTGCGCGTCAACACGGGCGCATCAGGGCAAGTACAGCTGGAAATCTGATCTGAAAACTCATCATTAAAGAAATCTGGGCCAGCTTCCCGGAAGTTCCTTAAGACAAGCCTGGGCCAAGTTCTGTTGTGAACGCTGGAGGGCGAACGTGCTCAAGAAACCGGGCCAGCTTTCTGGCAATTCGGCCAAGAAACACTGGCCCAGCTGTTCGGCAGGAGGTTTCCTGTTCATACGCTCGACCGCAAGCCACCTCGGGGCTTCAACACGGAAGGACGAGGAGGAGGAGGAGAACGAGGAGGTGGGCGTCCATGGCGACCACAGGACCGCGAACCAACCGAACCGGCAGCGAGACCGAAACCGACCGAACCTCCAGACCGAGTGCAACCTAGACGGGCGCAACGACGCAGCAACCGACCAACCAAACCGGTTGAATGCAGCCGACTGCTAGCCGAAGCGATCGAACCGCGGACACCCTTGGAGGAGGAGCTCCCTGCTACCGCCTCCCTCCTCGTTTCTTTCTCCTGACATCCGGGGGATCGAGTAAGACACACCTGCATTAACAGCAACTTTCGGAGGTCCGCGGGGCCTCCGAAAGCTTCAATATGAATGCGATCGTTCTTCTTCAATCCCACCAGTCCTGTAGGGCGTGAGTGGTTTAGCGAGTTTCCTCTTCCGACCCCCTTCTTCCCCTTCGGGGAGGGGCTTACCCCTCCCCCTACCCCCTACACCTTGGTTTTGAGGGGTCGTCTCGCGAGACATTGGAGCGTCCAACAGGGCTTTGGCGAGGAAAAGCCAAAATCATTGATTTGACGTGGGCTTGGGACACATTTTGGCCTCCTGGGGGGGGCCCTAATTGAGTAGCCCCCCTCCTTTGATCGATCTTCTCCAAGATGGTCCCAAGATGGCTCCCGAGGCTCCCAAGGATGCCCCAAGACGTCCCAAGGGTGCCCGAAGCGCCCAAGATGCCCCCAATAGGCTCACAAGAAACCCCCAAGACGCCCCAAGAGGCCCCCCAGGGGCACCCAAGACGCCCCAAGGGGCCTCGGCGAGAAGCCCAAAATCATTACATTGACATTGGTTTTGGCAGCATTTTGGCCTCCTGGGGGGGGCCCTAATTGAGTAGCCCCCCTCCTTTGATCGATCTTCTCCAAGAGGGTCCCAAGATGGCCCCCGAGGCTCCCAAGGGTGCCCCCAAGAAGTGCCCAAGCTGCCCCCAAGGGGCCCCGACGAGACCCCCAAGACGCCCCAAGAGGCCCCCTCAGGGCACCCACGACGCCCCAAGAGGCCTCGGCGAGAAGCCCGAAATCATTGAGTTTTCTGAGGTTGTGGCCACATTCTGGCCTCTGATGGGGGCCTAAATAAGGAGCCCCCCTCCTTTGACTGATCTTCTCCAAGATGGCCCCCGAGGCTTCCAAGGGTGCCCCAAGACGGTCCCAAGAGGTGACCAGGAGGCCCCAAGAGGCCCCCACGATGAGCCAAAGATGCCCCCAAGAGGCTCCCACGAAACCACCGAGAGGCCCCAAGAGGCTCCCCAGAGGCACCCAAGACGCTCCAATAGGCCCGCGGCACTGCCAAGAAACCCCAAAACACCCCAAGAGGACTCCACTAAGCTCTTGGAAGAAATCCGACTCGACTCCGAAAACCATCCAAACGGCCTCTTGTCTGTCTGGTCGCCTTCCACCTCCTCGTTCTCCTCCTCCTCCTCCTCATCAGCATCATCACCACCATCATCGGCATCACCATCATCAGCATCAATATATTCCTCATCATCATCAACCTCCTCATCACTGTCATGATCATCACCAACACTATCAGCATCAACATCAGCATCATGACTATCATCATCAGCAACAGTAGCAACCGCAACAGTCACAGCAACGTCAAGCACAATCATCATCATCTTCATCATCATCATCATCATCATCATCATCACCACCACCATCATCATCATAATCGTCCGCAGCATCAGCTTCATCATCATAATCAGCTGCAGCATAACCATCCTCATCGCCAGCATCATCACTGTCATCGTCATCACCAGCAGCAGCACCATCATCATCAGTACCATCACCAGAGCCATCACCATCACCATATCATCAACATCATCACCACCATCAATACCCACATCGACATCATCACCAGCATCATCATCACCATCACCATCACGCTCATCAGCATCATCATCATCACCACCATCATCATCATCATCATCATCATCATCATCATCATCATCATCATCATCATCATCTTCATCATCATCACCACCGGCATCATCATCAGAATCATCATCATCCACCGATTCCTCCTCTTTCCTCCTCCCTCCTCCTCCTCCTCCTCCTCCTCCTCCTCCATCTCCCCTTCTCCCTCCTCCTCCTCCTGCTCCTCCTGCTCCTCCTCCGGTTCCTCCTCCATCCTCCCCTTCTTGCGGTACGACGTCTGACCCAGCCTTTTATTCCACTGAATTCTCCTCCACATCCCTGATCAAGGCAACACGTCTGGGCATCGTGTCTGGATGCGCTGGTGAGTTGTTCCCCATACCCTAAGATGGGTTTATTGTAATTAATTGGGCGCCTCCTACTCCTCATGCCTTCTTCTCCTTCTCCCCCCTCTCCTCCTCATACCCAGACTTACTCATACACAGAAGGATTCACACCCAGACTTACCCATACCCAGACTTACTCACACACAGAATTACTCTTACTCAGACCTACTCATACTCAGCCCTACTCCTACTCACACTTACTCATGGTGAGACTCACGCACGCCTCGTTCGCGGTCGTTTTGTGGGGATGTCTCAAGCGGTTTGCTTGTTCCCCACATGCTTCGTGGGGTTATGGTTTTCTTCCTTGCCGCGCCGCACCCGCGACACTCACACCTCACCTCTCTCTCCTTCTCACACAGCGCAGCACATCACAGCACAGCACAACACAGCACAGCATAACACAGCTCAACGCAGCACAGCACAGCACAGCACAGCACAGCTCAACGCAGCACAGCACAGCACAGCGCAGCACAGCACAGCTCAGCTCAGTCAGCTCGGCACCGCACAGCACATCACAGCACAGCTCAGCACAGCATAGCACACAGGTCCGGCGCGCAGGGCACGGCACGACAGATCGTGGCAGGGGGCGCATTGTCTCGGCACCAGAGAGGGTGCGCAGGGGGTGGTCCCTCAGCGCGGTCTCTATGCGTGCCAAGGTCGGAGAGCGTGGCAGGCGTGGCACATCCTCGACACCAGAGAGGGTGCACATCCTCGACACCACAGGGGGCGCGCTGGGGGTGGGGTCGCTATCCGTTTCGGGCTCGCAAAGCGTGGCGCGCGTGGCACATCCTCGACACCACAAGTGGCCGCGCTCGGGGTGGGGTCGCTATCAGTTTCGGGCTCGCAAAGCGTGGCAGGCGTGGCACACCCTCGACACCACAGGGGGCGCGCTGTGGGTGGGGTCGCTATCCGTTTCGGGCCCGCAAAGCGTGGCAGGCGAGGCACATCCTCGACA